GGGTGGGTAGGGTTCAGAGAGTTAATCAGGCAGAAAATGCATTTCTCACTGTGCTGCGAGTAGTCAAGGAGGCCTCCCTGGAGGAGGTGGCAGGAAGCTGGGATCTGAAGAGTAAGGCAGAACCAGGCCAAAGTGAAATGGGGAAGAATGTTCCCTGCGAGGGACAGCCCAGAGGTGTGGGAGAATGGTGAGTCGGGGTGTCCAGAAGCGACTTGCCCACCCCTCGACCCTGTTCCTCTCCTTACTCCACAGGCACCTTCAAAATCCAGAAGACCAGGCTGCAACGCGAGGGCTTCGACCCACGCCAGACCTCTGACCGCCTCTTCTTCCTGGACCTCAAACAAGGCCACTACCTGCCCCTGGATGAGAGTGTCTATACCCGCATCTGCTCGGGAGCCTTCGCCCTCTGAGGCCCCTCCCTACTGGCCAGAGATTTCTAGCCAGGCGGTCCGGCAAAGGGGACTTGAACCAGATGGTCCTGCCCGGGACTGCCCCCTCCCACCTGCTCACCTTGGGGCCGTCCAGGGCTTTGACACTGGAACTTGGAGGACCCCACATCTCTCTCCCCCTTTCTCCGTCCCCCTCGCTGGCAGGTCTCCCTGTGTGTCCTGGTCTGGTATCATCTCTGTACTCTTTTTTCTTTTTCTATTATTTTTTTTAAGGTTTTTGTTACAGGGTACGTGCACTCACCAGCGAGACACAGAGAGAAGGAAAGTGAGAAATCGTCCCCCAGGGGGATGGCCACAATCCCTTCTCCATTCTCCCCTCGGGATCTTGGGCATGCACGCATGTGCACCCGGTGTGATTTTCAAGCCACCGGGTCCAGGACTCGAACTGCAAGTGGTCATGGGGGAGTCCAGCCTCTTCACCACCACGCCACCTGTTGGCCCTTCTTCCCGCTTTCTCCATTGCATCCTCGGAAGGACCCCGCTGCCCTTGAGGCCTCCTGGTTCATCCTCTGAGCCCTGGACTTGGGATGGGGCCTCCCTGCCTCCCTCTCCACTGTGCCTTAAGGAGCCCCAGCCCCGGCCTTCCTCAAGGGCTGGGCTCCAGACCTTAACCTCGCAGTGGGCTCTCTGCCACCCCTGCTGGCGCTGATCTGCCTGGTGGGCGCATCTGGGCGTGAGACGCTGCCCTGAGGGTTTCCTGGGGCCATCGGAAAAGTACTTTGGGTCGGTTGGAATGTCCTTTTTTTTGGGGGGGGGGATTTTTGCTATAGAACACATGCACTTGCCAGAGAAACAGAAAGACAGAAGACAAAAAAATCGTCCCCCAGGGGAGATGGCCACACCGCAATCCCTTCTCCTCCATTCTCCTCTCTGGATTTTGGGCATGCACGCACGTGCGCCCGGCATCCGGGACTCGAACCGCAGTCAACGATGTGGGATTCCAGCGATGTAACCGTTATGCCATCTGCTGGCCCTGATTTTTTAAGTTTATTCATTTATTTCTTGGAAGAGAAGGAAAGACGGGGTAGGGTGGTAGAGGGGCACCCCAATAGGGTCTCCATTGCTACAATTGACCCCGAGTCTCAGCCAGCCTCGGTCCCAGGGACACAGAGCAGTCCTGGGACACGAACCCTGGACCTTTCCCGTGTGGGTCCAGTTGCACCTCCACCCTCCCCATTCTTTTTTGCACTTCTCTTTCCTGGGGGGAGGGGTTTCCCTGGCCACACCTATCCCTTCCAGTTTTCTGGAAACTTCCGGAATTGTGACCACGTGGGTGTCGTCATTGCCAGGGAGGGGACCTGAGGACAACGCTGGCGGCCACCCAGTCAACCCCTTAATGCCCTTGGTGGGGTTGTCTCTTGGCCGTGTCTCTCCAGCGTGACTCAGAAGAAGCCCTTAGCCTAAGGGGTCAGGAGGTCTCCTGACCACGGGGTCTCTCTGAAATAGCTCTCAGACTTCAGGGGCTTTAACCTATTCCACATCCTTGTCCCCACTGGCTTTTATTTATTTTTTTTCTCCTTAGTTTCTTGCTAAGGTGTGTACTCACTAGAGAGAGACAGAGACAGAAGAGACAGAAAGCGAGAAATCACCCCCCAGGGGGATGGCCACGCCGCAATCCCTTCTCCTTCATTCTCTCGGGATCTTGGGCATGCACGCACACGCGCCCGGCGTTTCCCGAGCTATGGGGTCCTGGAGTTGGGCCATGCAGTCGGTCAGGTGGGATCCGGCTGCCGTAACCACCGTGCCACCTGCTGTCCCCCACCCTGGCTCTGCTACGGAAGGTTCAGACCTTGTGTTAGTGACATCTTGGACGGTCTCGCTGTGATGGCTCGGATGTCCCCACTGGCTGCGTTGATGGCTCGTCTCGGACTCAGCCACCCAGACCACCTGTCCGTCCTCCCTGCAGCAGTGGGGCCAGCGCCCAGCACCCCCACCCACGCAGCCTCACGTGGAACTTTCCGAGCACGTGGGTTTTGTTTCCTGATTGACTGGAAAAAATAAACCCGCAGAAAGTCTGGCGCCTGCTGGGCTCCCTGTCAATCACTGTCCGTCTCTGTGGGGTGCAAACTTGCGGAGTTCCAGAAGGGAAGGACTGGCCCAGCCCTGGTGGCACATGCAAAGACACTGAGGCCCACAGGGTGGGACCACATGGGAGTGGGGGTTCGTTTCCCGGTCCGACCTAACCTCTGGGGGAATGGACACTTGGAATCTGTGCCACAGAAGGCTGAGGGACGAGGGTGGACTGGAGTGTGGCTGGACCTGACCCCGTCTAAGACTGAGCTGTGGTCCCAGCTTGGGGTTGGAGCATGGAGGATCCAGACGCTGAGGCCCTGGGACCTGCAGGTGGCGTGGGGATTAAGACCTTGGACTTAATTATGGTTCAAGTCCTGGACCTGGTGGCTTGAAAATCGTGGCTGGGGGAATCAGAAAACAAGAACAAGTGGAATTAAACAATTACTTAAAAAGGGGGAGGGTCAGCGGATGGTGTAATGGCTGTGTCGCTGGACTCCCATGTAGTTGACCGAGGTTCAAGTCCCGGACCCGGTGGCTTAAACTCACACCGGGCGCGTGTGCGTGCGTGCCCAAGATCCCGAGAGTTCCCTTTCTCTCTCTCCCTGTCTGTGGTCAAATTTAAAAAATAATTACACACGTAAGGCCAGCAGGAGGCATGATAGTTAAGGCACTGGCTTCCCACATGGCTGACCATGGTTCAAGTCCTGGACCTGGCAGCTTGCTTTCTCACTTTCCCTTTCTCTCTCTCCCTGTCTGTGGTCAAATTTAAAAAATAATTACACACGTAAGGCCAGCAGGAGGCATGATAGTTAAGGCACTGGCTTCCCACATGGCTGACCATGGTTCAAGTCCTGGACCTGGCAGCTTGCTTTCTCACTTTCCCTTTCTCTCTCTCCCTGTCTGTGGTCAAATTTAAAAAATAATTACACACGTAAGGCCAGCAGGAGGCATGATAGTTAAGGCACTGGCTTCCCACATGGCTGACCATGGTTCAAATCCTGGACCTGGTGGCTTGCTTTCTCATTTTCCCTCTCTCTCTCTCTCTGGTCACATTAAAAAAATAATAATAATGAATAAAATAAAATAAGGTAATTCTTTTAAAATTAAAATAATAAATGTAATTAAATTTTTTTGGCGGTAACTGCTGGTCCCTATATATTTATTTATTTTAATTTGACCAGATTGAGAGAGAGAGAAAGAGAGAGAAAGCAACCCACCAGGTGCAGGACTCGAACCACAGTTGTCCATGTGGGAGTCCAACACCTTAATCACCATGCCAACATCCTACATCGTTGATTGCGCAGTTCGATTCCCGGATTTGGTGATGCAACAAACACACTAAGCGTGCGTGCGTGCGCAATTTCCCAAAAGGAGACTAGAGGAGAATGGTTTGCAGTGTGACCGAGCCCCACGGGCAGCGGCTCCTCCTCTCTCTCTGCCTCTCTGTGGTGAGCACATGTCACATGCCCTTTAGCACACGCACACACACGCACACACACACACACACACACACACACACAGAAACCCCAAAAAACCCTGTGCCCTGCCTACACCCCTCCCCACCTCCCCGCTCTACGCACGGCAACTGCGGAGCGATTCAATGTTACAATAGTCCCGCAGTCGCCGAGGTCACATAGCTGGAAGAATCCAGCATGTGGCTTTTCCACAATGCTCCCTTTCACTTATAAAAAGCATTTCAAGTTCCTCTGTGTCTTCATAGCTCTGCATAGTTTTGTTTTGCTGTTCTTTCCTTTTTTTTTTTTTTAATAGGTTTT